ATCCTGAGCAAGATTTTCTGATGTGAAAAATTCTGGAGGCAGAACTGGAGAGAAAAAAAAGAGCCATCCTGTGACCCAAAGGCTGGCAGCCAGTCTGTAGAGCAACAGAGATTTCTTGAGTCTTACCAAAGCTCAGATCCCAAGCTGTGCTGAAGAAAGTTATGATTCTGCCCTCAAAATATTTGAAGCCAGTGGTTAACTAAATCGAAGTAAAGCCTCAGAAAATGACCAAGTTCTGCTCACTTACAGATTAATTTGAATCAGCTTCCAAGTCTAGTTGTCTGACTGAAGAAAGGATATGCCTTTATTCTAGGGGTAAATATTATTTATTTCAGTCCTTTAGTACAATGTTCAGCATGCAATATAAAATTACAAGGAGCACAAAGAAGGAATGAAAGATGACCTGTGGTCAAGAAAAGAGACAGTCATAAGAGGCAAACACAGAAATGCTCCAGATGGTGAAATAATTCAGATAGGAACATTAAGGTAACTATGATAAATATGTTACAGAATCTATTGTAAAAGTTGCACAACATGCATAAAGAGATGGAGATTTCATCAGAGCATTGGAAATTATAATAAAAAACAAAAGGAAATTCTAGAAACATAAAATATCAGAAAATTTTTAGATATTTGATGGGCCTAATTGTAGAAAAAACAGAAAAGAATCAGTTTACTTGAAGACAGTCAAATTATTCAAGCTGATAGAGGAAAAATCCAGAGTCTAAGTAAAGCCTTAAAAAAAGAACAAGCTCAGGGCTTCCCTGGTGGCGCAGTGGTTGGGAGTCTGTTTGCAAATGCAGGGGACATGGGTTCGTGCCCCGGTCCGGGAAGATCCCACATGCCGCCGCAACGGGAGAGGCCACAACAGTGAGAGGCCCACTTACCGCAAAAAAAAAAAAAAAACAAGCTCAGCTCATCTACATATTAATTTGGCTCAGTTTTGACTCAAGGTCTATGAGATAATACTACATGATCAAACATGTATAATTGAATTCTCAGAATAAAGATGAGAGACAATGAGGCAGAAAAATATTTGACGAAATAATGGCTGAGAATGATCCAAAATTGAGGAATGACATTAACCCACAGATTTAATAAGCTCTGCAACCCCCTAGTAGAATATATACAAAAATATTATACCTACACATACCATAGTTAAAGGTGTGTGCAGGTATAATATTTTTGTATATATTCTACTAGGGGGTGAAAATCAAAGATAAAGAGAAAATTTTAAAAGTGCCTGTGGTAGGGGTGGGGATGAGGATGTGTGTGTTGAAGAAAGCACATGCCATACAGAAAACAATTATAAGAATTACGTCTGACTTCTCATTAGAAATAGAGGGCAGAGGACGATGGAATACAAGAGTATATACTGTATGATTCCATTTGTATGAAGTACAAGATGAAATAAAATTTATCTGTGTTGATAGAAATCACACGGTAGTTGCCTCTGAAGTGATGAATTGACTCGAATGGAGCAGGAGGGGACTTGTGGTGGTGATAGAAGTTTCCTTAGCTTGTTTTGGGTGATGGTTACATGGGTGTATACAACTGTCAAAATGCATGAAACCCATGATCAGTGTATTCTTAAATATAAATTATACTTCTGTATTTTTTTCAGAAGCCAATCGAAACATCAGTATCTTTTAGCAAAAACATTAGTGATCATGTGATCTAGAATGAAATTAAGCACTGAAGAACAGCAAGGGACAGCATGTAATACTCCCCTGGGTCACAGACACATTATTTGATCAGCACTCCTTCTCTGACACTGAGTCTGTGCCCATAAGAGAGTATAGCCTCCTCCAGCAAGTTTTTATTTTATAAGATAAAGAACTTCCTCATCTTATGCTGTTACAAACATGCTTGTTCCCCACACAGAGCAATCCATTCATATCTCACATTCTCATAATAATCCAATCAAGGCTAAAATATAAAAAGTATGATTTTATAAAAAGCAGGAGACTGAAAAACCCAAACTATTTCTTAGCATAATCATACCTGCATTGACATGAATACCTTTATTCGTATACAAATTTCATATGTATAGTAATATAATAAGATATGCATACTGAGTGTATTTAATTTGACGTTCTGGAAAAAACAGTGCTAGAAATCACAATCTAATTAGTATTAAAATAATTAATACAGCTCCTATGAATCATTTAATTTTTTGAACTGTTAACCCTGTCATATACTAATTTTAAAAAATACCTTAAATTAGAAATTTTCTAGTTATTGGTCATGTTATATTACCAAGCTGAGCATCTCCTACATAATGAAGATAAGCAGGCAAAATGACCTCATCCAAGAAAATGAAAGGTACTGCTGTAGTGATGACACTGGGGCAGGTGTGAAATGGATTCATCATTTTGTAAAGGACCAACTATTCCGGGGTCAGTCTCTCAGGATGGTAACTACTTTGGAATAACGAAAAGAATGAGTGATCATAAGGTTGGGGCAAAGGGGAGTTAGGACAAGTTTGCTTTAAACTATTTGATGCAGAAGAAGGAGAAGGAAACTAATAATTTATTGAATACCTGTTATGTTTCAGACACCTTTCTGGGCACTTTTTATATGTTGTCATTTAATTATCTCAGTAGCCCTACAAATTTGGATGAGAAAGCTGGGCTCAGATACTGAGTGGCTTGCTGAAACGTCACATAGTGAATGTATGGCAAAGCCAACTAACGCTAAGCCCATGCTTTTGTAACTGTCATATTCTGTATTGCCCAAAGGATATAAAGATATGGTAATTTAGAGGAAATTTCACCTCAACAGAAGTAATAATGTCTAATGATCAGTGTTGTCTAATCAAGAAACAGGCTGCTTTAGGAAGTAAGAAACACTCTCTCATTAGAGCTATGCAAGCAGTAACTAGAAGATCATCTTTTATAGACTCTAGGAATGCAATTCTGTTACTGGATAGGAAACTGGAAAAATGTCCTCCAAAACTCTTTCATGTCTCTAACTTCACAAAGCATTCTAGAAGATTAATGGCTTTTCAGCTACAACTAAAAATGAAATAAAGAAATGGAAATTAAAGGAGCCAGCCTTCAAACCTGTACTCCCTTTTAATATCAGCAGCATAATCTTAAATCAGCAGAACTTCTTGCTTTTGTGTGCCAGAAAGCATGGTTCAGAGTATCAAAACTGTTAAGAAGTGAGCCCTGGAAAACCATGTCCACTTGGTCCTTTTTATTCTTCCTGGTGTACAAAAATAGAGAGACTTTTAATGAAGTTTATTGTAGTTGTTTCTAATATTATATTACCTTAAACTTGAAGAATTTACTGACAGGGGAAGTTGGTGAGGTTAAAAGGTGAATGTGTTCCTATAATGATTAAACACTTATTTAATGAAAATATATTTTAAGCTGCATTAACAGTGATTTCAAAGTACAGCAGAATAACAATGTGCAAGAACAGTGCATATGGCATTTATTGGCAGGTGATGATGTTTTTTGTATATTGTATGGTACGACAGAGAAAGTTGACCAGGGGCATGTAAAAATCTGACATTATCATGCAAATATTTTTCTTTATTAACTTTGGTTTGGTTTAATTATCGCAGAAATTATTTTATAATTCATTTAAATGAAAATAAATAGAAAATTATATCTTAATTCCTTTTGGAGAAAATACATTATTTTTATTTTGAAAATTGGTACCTACCTTGAACAGTTTCAGCTTTTATAAGCTCATCTTCATAAAATATTTGATAATTTTTTAGTCACTGCTCACCATATAAGAAGGGACAAGTGCCTTTATCACTGAAATACTATCCTCGATTTACCTACGGCCATTTTAGTTCTAACACATTTTGAAGGATAAAATATTTCCTTACTGTAAGTTCTTAACATGTCCTGAAGGTTTTTGTTTTGTTTTGTTATGTTTCCTGTTAAAACATACAAACTAACAAACTAGATAATTTATTCAGCCCTGAAACACCCAAGTGAATTGAAAACTCCAGGTTTAAATCCCCTCTCTTTTCCTTTTTTTTTTTTTCTTGGTCTACGAAACAGCAAAGTAAATGAGGCCAGATTCACAGTTTTCCAAAACATTATGAGGTGGCTGTTTTCATTGCTTTAGAATTTCGCTGGAAGACAATTGACTTTGCTTTGATGGCTTTGTTTCTGTTGCTATAAGTCTTCACACTGCTTGCTTCTAATAATGCCATAGCTATTAAAGTAAGCTGATGTGTAACTTCTGTAACACAATTTTTCTAGCTAGGTATGAAAGTGTAGAATAATAACAAACCATCACTTATCCGCATGTGTGTGTGCTTGTGTGTGTGTGTGTGTGTGTGTGTGTATTTTGGCATTGTGATAGCAGTATACATTCATCGTTTTATAGTTATGCATAATTAATACATGTCTTCTAACTAGTAGCTAACGTATAATTAGGAAATTCAAATTCCAGAACATTGATATGAAACCTGTAAAATCCTGATGGAAATTTCCATATTGAAGATTTTTATAAAAGTGCCTATTAGCTGTTGCAGTTACTTTTTGAAAGAAAAATTTCACATAAAAATCTAGCATAACTCACACCCCCAGGAATTTCATGTTCATTTCAACTTCAAAGAGAAGCAAACTAGGCATGGCAGTAGAAAATACAAAAAGTTTTATAGATGAATTTATTTGTTATTTAGTGTTTGGTTAATGTTGCAGTACATTGAAAAAGGAGTTATTACAATGTAATGTTTTTGTTTTGTTTTACATTTAGGAGGTCCGTATGCCTTTCTAAATTAAACTTACCCAACAAATAAGGGGGAGGCACTAATGCTAGTGAGAATATTAGTTTATATTTGCTTTAAGATGAGAAATAGAAAGAGGGAGAGTCTACATTGCTAAAACCACTGACAGTTTCTTATTTGCAAAATCACACTAAAAGTCTGCTCTACTTTGTGGGAATTACTTTTAGGAGTAGATTGTGTTTGACTTTTTCTTATGTGGTTCGAGATATGATAAAAAATTATCCTGTTCTTATGCTTATAGATCCTTATTTCAAAGAACTTCCAACTCTTCTCCACTGTGCAGCAAAATTTGGCCTAAAGAACTTGGCTGTTCATTTGCTTCAATGTTCAGGAGCAACTTGGGCATCTAAGATAAAAAATTTGGAGGGTTCAGATCCAGCACATATTGCTGAAAGGCATGGTCACGAAGAACTCAAGAAAATCTTTGAAGACTTTTCAGTAAGTATTTTTCCATTTTATCTCTAAAACTCTTTTTTATAAAATTAATATGTATGTATGTGTGTGTGGGTACATGCACATTGCTCTTGAAAATGATGCTACTGTACAGCTAGTTTTTAGCGTCTGTTGGTCCTGAGTCATTCATTGTCTTAAGCATTTTGCAAGATTATTCAACTTGTTTTCATATGCCATAAACCAGCTCTGACTCCACACTCCCACCCCTAAATAGCCCCTTTGAAACTTGTCTGGTCTTTCTGGCTTCTAAATAGCCTGTTCAGTATTGGAAAGGAGATGTTACCAAGGAAATGAAAACCTATTACTTTTCATCTTTTGTTCAAAAGTCTAAGTAGGCGCTGTTAGGCACGTAAAATGAGATAAATATTTACTAGGTTAAAGGAGTGTATTTTGATAATTATTCAAAAAGTCTACCCAGTAAAAAGCTAACCCATGTTGTTTAACTTTGTTTCTGATATGTGATTGATTCCCTTTCTCTGTCTGTTAAGTCCCAGTTCTTTATTGTGTGTGTTGAAACTCCAAATTTCAGAACACCCTTTGAAGGATATTAGTTCTGTAAGACTGCAACCAAGGGACGATTGAAGGAGGGGATACTACCTTAGTACATAAAACACACTTTGTGTTTCCTTAATCAACCTTAGAAAAGCAAGTATTTTCTGTTTGTAACAAAGGTATGCACATTTTGCTCGAGAAAGTGAATTATACTTCTGATGGCTCTTAGGAGAATATAATAGGCAATTATTGTGTTGGTGAATATGTCAGAATTTGTCTTTGGATTCTCAGAAGATAATTTTATTGCCAAAGAACAGTTAATATAGAACATTGAAATACTTCTGGTCATTTTAGCATATATTCCGATTATTAGGTTAAGTAAATGTAATACTGGACTTCTAAAAACCATCGGTATTTCTGATTTCCAGAGAGTAAAATGACAACCAATCTAACTTTTTTCTCCACTTTTAAGAAATAGCAAATAGTTATCAGAAGAGCATGGGTATCATCCACCATCTGGAACTACTTGTATTTAAAATACAAGTATTTATTTCATTTACAATAAATACAGAAATTAAGTTTTGTAATAAAATTAATAAACTACTTTTTATATTCTATGTCCTTCAAATGAGGAATAAGCATAATTTTTATTCATGGAAAGGTTTTAGATAGTGATTGTCATATATCCGATGGATGCGTTCATTTTAGTTAATATCCACTGTACATAGTCATTGACCAATGCAACATGGCATCTATCTCAGGTTAAGTCAATGAATCAATTCAGCCTTGTAAATTGGCCCACAATAGTCCTATTATTCCTACATCCTGGGTACGCAATTCTCTACAACCTTATTCTCAATTTTTAACCACTGGTGGACGGAAGTTAAAATTTCCCCTAGAAGTCTTCAACATCCAGGGTTACTTTCCAAGATGATCCCTGATTTTCAAAGAGTGACGCTTCCACTTATGGTTCTCCAGTGAGGACTCAGCTTTTAACAGATGCAGCCCCATGCAAAACTGCACATACTTCATAAATAACATAGTACTAAATAATAATGACAGTAGATACAAAAGCAACTATGAGGGTAGGATTTGATGGATGTGGGAAATGATTTTTTTTTTTTTATCCTCTGGGTATTTATACCTTTACTCCTGCAATAATAGCAGTGATACCAGTAGATTGGTATCACTGTCTTTAGGTGACTATTTATTCTTTAATAGTGGTTGCATTCTAATTTTGCAGTTATACTTGATAATTATTCTATGAAATTTGTTAAATTATTTCATGTATTCTGTCTCGTTGTGAGCTGTTACATTTTGCCAGCATGTCTATAGTAGACATTGACATTATAGGTAGGACGGATCGATTATTTTGCAGATGTTCTGCTGTCACTAAGGAAGTGACTATGGAAGTGTGTCAGATAAACACCTGTTGAGACTTTATACTATAAATTATAGTAGCTATGTCTTTTTAAAATTATATCTAAACTTAATAGAGAAAAAATGTGCGATCTATTTGCATTGCTGAAATACTTTATTGTTTCTTTCATAACATTTACATAGCTTTAATGTTATAACCACATTCTGATAAATCTCAGATTTGTCACATATGCATTCAAATTTTCCATGAATTATTTTTCAGAATTGTTGAAAGGAATAGATATTCTTTCAGTTTGCAGTTTATAATCCACCAATTGACCATACTTCTGTACTGAAGAAATATATATATTTTTAAATTTAAACATACCCCGCAACTGATTTACTGATTTCTTCAATTCTTCCTAATCCTCCATCAGTGAAACATTGTTCATTTTAGAATCTCACAGGGAGTTACAACACAGTGAGTTTGGTCATTGCTGAATAAAATGGGTAGGTAGAAGGAAAAAGTCGCTCATGACTTTTTAAAATAAAGATAAAAAGAGAATCATTAGCAAGCATTCATAAACGAACATGTGCCATCCATCTCTTAGTGTTAGCTAGATGAATAAGGAGGAAGAAGGAGGAGCCCCAAATCACATTCTTGATGTCTCTTCGTGGCGTTTTTTACTTTGAAAGGTTAATAATTTATGTACAATCTATGAATAGAGACTTTTGATTATGAATGAGTAGCTTTCATGTTTTGATAGTTATCGAATTAACAACTACACTTGTTTCATGTTTTCAGTACTATTATAGATAATAATACGATACATTTCTATAACCCATAAAGTCTTTCAAATAAACTACTCAGTTTTCAGTTTCTGACAATGCCTTCTAGAAGAATTGATATGAAAGGCGGGTGGACAAAAAGCCACAGGATTGGTGTTTAATTCCACAGTTGAGTGTGAACCACAGTTTGCTTCATAGAATTCTTGAGGAAATCTCAGACTATTTCAAATAACAAGCAGCAATACTGACAACTCATTCAGTCCTCTAAAAACTTACCTTTTAAGTCAGAAATACCTGAGAATTTGAAACTAAAGTGGAACTTGGCCACAGATTACAAGATACTTTGTGATTTAAGATAAAGTGTACAGCCAAAATTAGAATGTGTTTTAAGCAAAATAATACGTGATATTTCTTTGTGTTATCTTGAGTATGTCACCCCATTTACCTCCATCAGTTTTAAACACTTCAGAAAATGATTAGATCACATGTAAGTAGACAGGGAAATACATCCTCCTCTGTGGGCCGGCTCTGGAATTGGAGAACCAACAGGTGATTACTAGGAACAGTATCCACTTAATATCTTTTCTCTTCCACCACAGTGTTCACTCGTGTAGTTTGGTGTGTATATTAGTAAGATCTTAATCATACATAATCTTCATGAAAATTTCAGAAATAGTCACTTTCTCTCGCTGACTTTTCAGGACTCCTCACTGGGAATGTTTCTGTTGCTCACGTCTGTGATGGGATTCTTGTGACAGCCTGCTCTCATTGACTTAGCCTGACACTGCCGTTTGTCCCTGTGGACAGTGGGCTAGTGTGTGTGTGCGCCCACGCGCACCAGAGGGAGACAGAGAGCACGAGATTGATTCTGTCGCCCTCTAGTGTCTGCCTGATAGACAGTGACCCTGATCTTTTTCAAACGGTCAAGGGTTTGGAATGACAGTACAGAAGAGGTAGATGTTGAAGCACCTGTAGTATCCCTAATATAGAGCAAAGGCTGACTGATTGGTGTAGGAACCCATTACTCAGAAGTTAGGCTTTATGCTTCGGGCAGTGAACATTCGCCTTTCTTAGCCCATTATTTCTCTCAGTATTGGCTTTGCTCATTTGGTACTTTCTCTAGAGCAGCGGTCCCCCACCTTTTTGGCCCCAGGGACTGGTTTCGAAGGCAGTTTTTCCATGGACGGGGTGCGGGGGAGGGAGGAGGGACGGCGGAAGGTTCAGGCAGTAATGTGAGCGATGGGGTGCGGCAGACGAAGCTTCACTGGCTCTCCTGCGCCGCTCTCCTCCTGCTGTGCGGCCGGGCTCCTAACAGGCCTGGACTGGTATCGGTCCACAGCCCGGGGGTTGGGGAGCCCTGCTCTAGTGGATTATTCCATTTAATTTAGTAAATATTAGTATATGCTAATTCCCTCTAAATGGCAGCATACCCTGCTTTGCTTATGTCGTTTTTCTTTCTCGGAAGTCTAGAAGCTAATGATGAGTAATGGGCTCCCCTCCCTTCCCACCATCAGGTGCCCACGAGGTGCTCAGCATGTGTTTACTCATTGATGGGACAGAAGGCAAGTGTCAAATTTAAGGACTTGTTTGATCTCACTTACCCAGTAATATCCTTAACCGGATCCCATGTTTTAAAAAATATATATTGCTCATATTCTTTCTATATTCAGGATATTTTTTAAGTTTAGGTTTAGTATCATCATAGACAAATAACACAACTGATCTCTTCAGCGTTTATTTTTAATACGCCAGCCTACAATGAAGTTTAGAATTCCGGCCTTTGTTCAGTACTGATGTTCTGTTAGAACTGAAGAAACTGGAACAAGTCACATAACTGCACTTGAGGGCATGCATTACAAATTCATGTCTCAGTTATGCTTTTGGAGCTACTTAGCAGTCTCTTTCTAGAATCCCATTAAATGCACCATAGTGGTGCATTACAGAAGTTTATTCTTCCCCAAGTCCTCAAACTCAGTTTTGATGCTCTAACTCTGCAGCTGTAAACATCCTGTTAAAACTCCCTCAACTCCTTCCTCTTCTTTGTCAAATTTTTATTTTTCCTCTAGTCATGGGGTCTTGGGATTCAGCCACGTTGGATTTGAATCCTAACTTCATCAAATACCACATTTGCATCCTTGAGCAACCTCTTTGTTTTCTCTCAACTTCAGTTTCTTTATTTGCAAATAGGAAAAGTAATTCCTTACAGGATGTTTTTAGGACTTGATGACATAATATGAAAACATTAAAAGTATAGTAGATCCATAATAAATGGATATTGCATTCACCTTATTTTCTTTTGATTTATTGTTATTCATATCAACTTGAGACCTCACCATCAATCATAT